AAAGAGCACAGAGGGTGGGAGCCCAGCTCTCCGGGGGAGCACAGAGGGTGGGAGCCCAGCTCCCCGGGGGAGCACAGAGGGTGGGAGCCCAGCTCCCCGGGGGAGCACAGAGGGTGGGCAGCAGGGTCCGTGGCCGGCCTGCCAGCTCCACGCTCCGGGGCTGGCTGGGCGCTATGGGGACGTGCAGCCACCAGCAGCTCCAATTCGTTCAGGACTGTCCCAGGCTGTAGCAGTTGGGCCGCTGGGTTGTTTCAGCCAAGCCAGGGCCCTGGTACGTGTGTGTGTGTGGGGGGGGGCAGCTCGAGTACAGCTCTGCTGCTGTGCCCCCTATGCACGCTAGAACCCCCTGGCTGCAGGAGCCCTTCCTCTGCCAGCTGCCTCTCAGCTGGACTCAGCGGCAGCAGGAGGCGCAAGGTGCAGCACCAGCAAGAGCCCAGTGCTCCTGTGGGTGGGGGCACAGGCCAGTCCTGGAGCTGGCTTGGAGAAGCTGACCCAGTGGCTGGTGGAGAACCAGAACTAGAGCCTGCCCGAGTGGTGTGGGGAGGAGAGTGGGAGCAGCAAACTTGGGGGAGACTGCGTGGGGCAGAGGAGAGAGAGCAGCTCCCATAGGCTGGGAGCCATGGCCAATGGGAGCTGCAGGGACGGCACCATTGGGTAGCGGCGAGTCCCCTGCTCCCTTTGCCCTGGAGCCAGACCTGCTGGCCACTTCCAGGAGCTTGCCTTAGCCCTGTGCACCACTGCCCGGGGTCAGGGCCCTCCACTCATCTGAGCTGCAGGATGTAGAGCCAAAGCCCTGGGCCTCCCCCAGCCTGACTTTCTCCCTCTCTGGGTGTGGGCCCTGGGCTCAAACAACAGGAACTGACCTATGTTGGAGTCTGCTGCTTAGTGACTGTGTGTGTGGGGGCGGCTCCGGGCCAGCGCTGGGCTGCCGGTGCATTGGGACCGTCCCCACACGGGCGCTGGCTAATCTGACAGGGCTTTAGGAGTCTAATGATGCTTCCTCCTGGGACCTAGCCTCAGAAACAAGGAGCCCGGCTGGTCATGACACTGCCAGCCTTTTTCCCTCCCCTGCAGCAGTGAACTGGGAACCCCGGGGGTGACGGGCGGTTTGGCCAAAGGGAGGGTCCCACTTTTCTGCTGTAACCATTTCTCTACTGTATAGTTGAGAGTCCGTCTGTCTAGGTGTCAGTCTGTCTGATCCAGAACTCCTAAACGGTAAGAGCTAGGACCACAAGATTTGGTAGGCTGCTTCCTCCAATCATAACTTAAAGCAAGGTCAGGGTTTGGTTGTGCCAGGAAAATGGGAAGTGCCTGGAATGGGACTGGTTCTCATAAAATCCAGTGCTTTTTTTGGGTAAGAAATAGGCGCCGGTACTCCAGGCTCAAACTTGTCAAGAGAAAAAAAAAGGCCTTTAAGAACCAAAACGCTGCGCTGGGAGCTGGAAAAAAAAATGCCTCGTGGTTCAAGCAGGCTTCCATCAGGAGACAGGTGCTGGTATGCACGAGGGGAAATCTCATTCATTTACAGGCAGTCCCTGACTTACGTCGGATCCGCACTTACGAACGGGCTTTATCGCCCCGGAGCTCGCAGGCAGCGGTCCCGCCACCTCGACCTCCGGCGCGAGAAAAGCTGCTCCCGGTGCCCCTGGTCTGCTGGGGACCGTCCCCAGCAGACCAGGA